TTATTGATTGGATATCTGAGATATGTGTGTGTGTGTATATGTCTGTTTGCATGAGGAGAGTGCATGTTATTGACATTGTGAGAGTGTTAAAAAGACAAGAAAAATGATAAAAATAGTAACAACCATTAATACCATCACCCTCAGGTAGGCCAGATCTGGTATTTCACGAGAAGTTATTTTAAAAAATACATGTAGTTTTGTGTAACAGAAATATTTGTCTGTCTTTCTTCTCTCTTTAATCTTCTTATGCCTCAGAGTATCTTAACACACTGGTGTCATTCAGAATAAGGACATTTGTAAGAAAAAGGAGAAGCCCTGAGCTGCACTTTGACCACGTTAAAGAAGTTTTATTAATTTTCAATGTTTTTGTGTCCTCAGTACCTGCTGTGGACGTTGTTGTGGGTCGGCTGGAATGTCTTTGTCAGCTGTCTCTACTTGGATTTGGGAGGTCTTTCAAAGGTAAGTCTAATGGTCACATAAGTGTCATAATTAGAGACCCACACAGCCTCAGATCCTAAATACAGTGTTCAGCTCTTCTCATGTCTGAGGACCTGCAGTCACATGATCAACACTCAGTTTACACTTTGTTTCTGTTGACAGTAGCTGTTTATTTCTCCTCTCTGCATTGGAAAACATATTGGTTTGTTTGGTCTTTATTGATGGTGATGACAATATTAGACAAAAATGATGTAGTATTAAAAAATGAGTAAGTAAAAGTGGTAGTTGTACATGCGGTCGTCTTCCAAGTTAAAATAATGAACTCATTGTTTGATAAGTTGACAGAAAATGAATTCACAATATTTGCTTGTTTCGGCTTGACAAGTGCAATGTTTTTTTAATCATTAAACTGTAAATAAACACGTTTTATTTTCTTTATTTTCCTGATGGTGAGGAGGTTTTTAAAACAACTTTTGGGGTCTGATGATAACTTCTGATCTATTTCATACAAATTACTTGAATTAAATGAATCAACAATAATGAATTTAAAAATGAATAGCTTCATCGAGAATGCAAATAATTGTTTGTAGTGGCCTCAGACAGGAAGCGAGGCACATACTGAATCACATCATGTTTAAGTGGGATTTTGCACTTTCTACTGCACCCAGTCTAACAAAGCAGAATATCCTCAAGAACCTGAGAGGTGAAGCGTTGCCTTCACATCTCTTCTGCCTGTGTTGTCGCTGCAGGACAGTGACATCCTCTCCCTGGGAGTATCGTCGCATCGCTCGTGGTGGAAGGACAACGGGCCGGGGTGTGAGAGCGACGGCCTTCCCTCCGCCGGGTGGCAGAACCAGCGAAACCCCGAGCTGACCACGGTGCTGAGCTGCTGGCTGGAGTACCAGTACATTGAAATCCTGCACTGCATCCTCCAGCTTCTCGTATCCGTGAGTCTCTGTCGCTGACATGAGACACTCATTCATTAAGTGTTATTATGTACCATTGAAACCAGTGAGAAGGTCAACAGAATGACTATATGATGCTTTAAAAAAACTTCAATTGAAAGCATGTTTAACATTTAATATTCTTCTAATATCAGTAAGTATGCACACACAGAAATGGACTGTTGCCTAGCAACAGCAACTCTAAATTGGCAAACCAGCACGGAGCATTTAAAAATGGCACCACGTTGTCACACTGGTGTCTGGCGGTAGTAAGTGTGGTGCTGAGCTTCTCAGTTTCTTTTATCATGTGTAGATTTAATTTGCTGAGAGATACTGTGTCTTCTATAGAAATGAAGCAGCTTGACTGACAATCAGATGAACAGATACACACACACACACAGTAAGCCTACACGTACCGCAGGAAAAGTACCATTTGTCATAAAAACATTCAAAAGCTGTGACCTTAAAAAACAATATGTGGAATTGATCATGAATAACTATAAATATTTAAACAATCTTGTGACCCTTAGGTTATGTCACTGCACATATGAGACTAGATCTGCAAACACAAAAAGCCTTTTAGCAGACGTTTGGCACAGGTGTTCCCAAAAACATTAAGGAAGAAGCTGAATGGAATTCGGCCTTTATTATTTCCAACTGTGCTTTTCCGACTGTGACATTTCAAAATGTCCTCTGCGAAATCCTTCATGTTATCACCACCAAGAGAATGTTTCTAAACCATGCTTTGTGATAAATAATGCTTTTAAGATATAAAAGAAAGAAAATTGAGGACAATTTGAAACACTGTGATTCACTTTTATACATGTTTGTGTTGTTTCCCATAGCTCCCAGGATTTGTTTATGCCTGCTACATCGTCAGCACTTTCTCAGATGAGGAGGACAGCTGTAAGTATGCTCCTGATAGACACCATTGATAGTATTTCAGAAAATACGATTCATTTTACATGCATCATCCATTTTAACTATTTTATACAGTATAAAGAAAATGCACAACCTTGCTTTCCCATTTTGTTTTTTTGTGGTTAAATTGGTTTTGTATCATTTATTCGTGTTTTTCTTTCTTATTTTAGTTAATTTCATTGGTGAATTGTATCATCCATCCAAACCCTCTCAGTTGCTCTTCTAGTGTAAAAACCTGCAGGTAGGTTTAGTGGCATGACTATCATTGCCTCTTATTTTCCACCCATTCTAATCTATGCCATTGTCCATTAAATTTGTTTAACATCTAATACACAATGTATTTTTCTTTTGTTTCACTTAGATTATAAATAACCACACAAAGGAAGTGGTTGAGAAAAACCAGGAAGGAACCGGGCAGAGGGGGTGAACTTTGAAGACTGTCATCATGTAATTGTTTTGGTGTGTATTTGTCAATAAAAACACCTGTTGCAAAACAACGCACCAAAACGCGTTGGTCTGAACAATAATGTTGTTCTATGTGCTGCAAGTGTTGCTGGAGTTTCGCCCTCTTCAGACTTTTTCCCTTCTCCATGTACCTTGGAAGTAGATGAAGTTGTTCCAGAAACAGCCACCCTGTTTCTACTCAGGACTCAAATGCTGTAAATCTAGATTTAAATCTACCTCTCTGTGTGTGTGTGTCTGTGTGTGTGTGTGTGTGTGTGTGTGTGCGCGCGCGTGTGTGAAAGAGATAGAAATCTCTCAATATGAAGCACTCAAGTACAAAAGAAAAGTGATGTAAATAAGTAGGCCTAGCAGATCCTGTCAGATGTTTTGCAAAATGTATAATTTATTATTAATGTTTTATTTCACTTTGAAAAAGGGACCATTCTAACTTGTGTATGATCTAATTCAGTGAAACAAACGATGCTCACGAAACAGCTTGTATTGTGGCGTTGCACAGATTTCTTTATTATTAAACATTTATATAACTAAAAAAATGATTGTTTTTTTTCCCCTGCCTCTGATAATTTGTCTTTCTTCTGTACTGCCCTCATTCCCACTAAACTCTGTATGTATAATTGTTTAAGGATTTACATATGGTAACCTTATATTTAGTTTGATTTTATTTTATTCTCTTCTAATTTAAATATCTGTAAATATATTCTATGTGTGTGTGTGTAGTGTAAAGGAGCTACATCTTGTATTTCGTTGTGCAACCATGTGTTGTAGAGTGACAATTAAATTAAACTTGTAACCTTAGGAGCAGAAATACAGCACTGCCACATGCAGGTGTACAAATAGACTTAGAACAGTATGTAAATACTAATCAAATGCTACATGAATTAGAAAACTGTTTTTAATCGCTACATGTAATGTAAACACGACTACAACAGCATGATCTATTGCTGCAACCTTATTTATTGACCACAAAGAACACAAGATGTTGCAGAACACATGCATGTAACATAATACAATATAAACGTTGTATAAAACAATAACAAAAGAGGTATTCACCCTCAAACCTTTTTTGCTATTTTACAAATGATCACAAAAATAATATTTTAAAATAATGTATAAACCAAACAATGCTTACTATTTATCCGTCTGATACAATAAATATAATATAAATCCATGAGAGTGATCATATTAATCATGTCAGTAAAGGATTATTAAAGAAATCCAAATAAAACAGTCAAAACATTCACATTTGTCAATATCTGTTCATCTGCTGCTGCTGCTAGGTAACGTTAGCCGTGGATGCGTCTCCTACGTCACCGGCGTCATTTCCGCCCCACAGACCCCGGATGAAGCTGCCATTGGGGCAAAGTGAGCAGGGCCACCAAGGCTGGTTGGATTTTAATTTAACGGCGAGGGGGTCGGAGCGGGATTGAAGCCCCGCTGGATTAATGTCGACAGGGCAGCGCAGAGTGCCAGCGAGGGCTACGACGAGCAGAGACACCGGCTAACGGCTGCTGCTCACTGTGTTCAACTGTGTTAGCAAACTACCGCGGATCAGGGAGACAGCTTTTCCAGCCATTAGCCTGCAGCTTACACACACTGTACGTGTTGTGCAGGGTTTCTCAGACTGACACAACACCTGGTGGATGAATGATGTCTGCCGCTAGTATTGACCCTCAGGTAAGCAGCGAGGAGACGCGCTTTATTCCCCACAGACACGCGAGATATATATATATATATGTGTGTGTGTGTGTGTGTGTGTGTGTGTGTGTGTGTGTGTGTGTGTGTGTGTG